TCGCGTCGAGGCGGGGGCCGGGGGGCAGGAGCTGCGCGCTGACAAGCGAGCGGAGGCGGCCGCCCCGCCGATAGGCAGGCCCAGGGGGGAGAGGAGGAGGAAGAAGAGGATGGGGGGGGGGGCAGGGGAGAGGCAGAGCGCTGCTCGAAGAAGGGGGAGCGGAACGAGCTCAGACGGTCCCCGCAGCTTCGTTCCCCAGCCGCTTTCCGCCCCGCCCCGAGAAGCAAGGCGGCGGTGCTGGTGGCGAGGGTGGCGCCGTCCAAGGGGGGGGTAGGAACGGCCCGAGCAAGGCGAGGCAGCGCCGGCTAGACAGCGGCGCGACCCTGGCCCGCCAGACGATGACGACGATGATCAAGATGGGGATTGGGCCGCGGTTCCGACGACTCCGACTCGGAGGGCGGCGAAGCCGAGTCGTCTGACGAGGAAGACAGCGACGAGGGCGCTCGTCGGCGTGGCCGATGCGACGGGCCGCCGGGTGGTCCGCCTCGCGGCGGAGACGGAGGTGGAGCCTTCCCCGACGAAGTGCCGGCCACTGCTGCCTACTGAACGGCGCTGGCGAAACGGGGAAGGTGGGCGTCGAGCCCATCCCCGACGCAGCTGGCCATGGGAAGTGGAGCAGAGGTGTGGTCTGCCGCGTCGCGTCGCGCCTCCCAAACTGACAGTGGGCCGCAGGGTGGATCCTGGAAGTGTTGAACATTCGGAAGGTTCAGGCCGAGACGTTGCAGGACCTTGGGAACTCTGGCCAGCTTGATTCCTTGATCGCGTCATATTTGAAACTGATAAAGCCCCTTTCTGCCAAGTGATTCAGAAACACATGAATCGGATGGCATATCACTTCAGGTCGATGTAGAGCCCGCTGCGCAGAACGATCGTGGACACAAATCGGCCGATGAGTCTTCCTGGCGGACTGTTTTGTCAACCCGTCGAGCATCTTGTTCGCCGTGCGGTTAACAGTTTCGGGTGCTGTAACATGCGACTGCCGTGCTTGTGAAAAGCCCGTTGCCGAGGAGGAGTGCAGAGATGTGGCTCCCGAGATTTGGACTTCTAGTGCCAGAGGCGCTGGCTCAAGCGATTTCAATCGGAACCGAAGATGTCGTCATACACTCTCACTTACAATATCGAGTGATATTTGCACCACGCCATGGTGTGGAATTCCATTTACGATGGAGATCCCCCCCGATGGACTTCCACTGGCACCTGCATGCCATGCCACGGCAGCTGCAAGGCAACACCGCTTTCCTGACGAATCACCGTGTCTGCGCGCAGGACAAGCGCAGGACAAGCCTGCTGGTGCAGCTCTGGTCGCAACCTGCGCCAGACCATTCCCGGTTCCACGGTTGTGGCGAGGTGCGGCTGTACACGAACCATGGAGAGCAAAAGCCTCGGAGCTCCATACAGCGGCGCTTGCGATTATGCCCGACGTTGGGCCACAGTGGTTTCATGTACTATGGTTAAGTTGGGCCTGTCCATCTACAGGGGAAATATTCCAAATTAGTCTTTTGTCGTATATAGTATGATTTTGATGTATACATAGATATGGACACATATGATTGATACTCTTCTTCATATTCTTCTTCTTATTTTCGTCATCATCATTACTATTAGTATTATTCTTATTATTTTCTTATTCTGATGATTATTATTCTTATTACGAATATTCGTCTTGTTAAACCATTTTTGAGCATTCTTGGTGTATGTTTGGGGTATTTCGTATTTTTCGTCCAAAATCCGCCTGTAGGCGGACACGCCCGACCTAATGCTATGGGGGAGTGAAGCGCAGGAACTGGAGCGCAAGCACCCGCGTCGTATGACATCCGTCGCAAATCTGTTTCCCTTCGCTCTCGGCGTGTGCCACCACAGGCCGCGACGGCCCGACCCGACGAGCTCCAATCGCCGTCATCTTTGCCTTTTCGCATGGTTAGACTTGTCCCGAGGGTCCTTGTAGCATTGCTGTTCGGGCCGAGCGACATATCCCCGAATTGGAGACGATCCACCATTCGACGATGTGGTCATGGTTTGTTCTGCTCCTGCCCCTCTCCCTCTCCACTTATCCCCTCCTCCTTCCTCTCCGCCCTCCTCCCCGCTTCCTCCTCCTCCCCCCCTCCTCCTCCTCCTCCTCCTCCTCCTCCTCCTCTTCCTCCTCCTCCTCCTTCTCTTCCTCCTCCTCCTCCTCCTCCTCCTCCTCCTTCCTCTCCTTTCCCCTTCTCCCACCTTGCTCGTCGTTGTCGCCGCCGCCGCCAGCCGGCTGTCGACGGTGGCCCATGCGCTGTCGCAAGCCTCCTCCAGTCCCTTGAAGCCCTTGGAGGCCATCGGGGACGAAGGAAAGGGCCAAGAGCGCACCAAAGACTTGGAGCCTCGAGCCTTGAGCCTCGATCCTCGCTGCGGCCTCTGGCTGCTGGCTGGCGGCCACTCGTCACCCACGATGCTCCTCCAACGTCCACAGGGAGTCATCCGTAGCCACTTTGGCTCAAGCATTCGCCTGGACCCGAGGGCAGTGGTGCAGTTCGTCGGCCAGCCATGCCGGCCAACTCCGAGAAGGAGCACCTGTCCATCGTGATCTGCGGCCACGTCGACAGCGGCAAGAGCACCACCACGGGCCGCCTCATCTTCGAGCTGGGCGGGCTGCCCGAGCGCGAGCTCGAGAAGCTGAAGGCGGAGGCCGAGCGCCTGGGCAAGGGCTCCTTTGCCTTCGCGTTCTACATGGACCGCCAGAAGGAGGATCGGCGGCGGGCGCGGGGGGGAAGCGAGAAGGAGAAGGCGTTCTCGGAAGGCTCGGAAGTCCACCGGCCCTCTGAGAAGTTTTCGAAGCCTTCTCCGAAGACACAAAAGACTTCTCAGAGGGTCCGAGGGCTTTTGAGAAGTCCCGCCGCCTTCCGAGGAGGCCTTCTCCTTCTCACTTCCCCCCCTCGCTCGCCGCTGATAGGAGCGCGAGCGCGGCGTGACCATCGCTTGCACTACACCGTCATCGACGCCCCGGGCCATCGCGACTTCATCAAGAACATGATCACCGGCGCTTCCCAGGCGGACGTTGCGCTCATCATGGTCCCAGCAGATGGTAACTTCACGACCGCCATCGCCAAGGGCAACCACAAGGCTGGCGAGATCCAGGGGCAGACTCGCCAGCACTCTCGCCTGATCAATTTGCTTGGCGTGAAGCAAATCTGCATCGGAGTCAACAAGATGGACTGCGACACCGCCGGATACAAGCAGTCCCGCTATGACGAGATCGCCAACGAGATGAAGAGTATGCTGGTCAAGGTCGGGTGGAAGAAGGACTTTGTCGAGAAGGGGACCCCTGTCATGCCTATCTCTGGCTGGATGGGCGACAACCTGTTGAAGAAGTCCGAAAACATGGGCTGGTGGAAGGGCTGCGACGTCGAGTACGGCAAGGAGACCATCCACGTAGACACCGTGTACGACGTGCTTGACGTCATGTGCCGCGTGCCAGAGAGGCCCACCAGCGCCCCAATGCGCATGCCGATCTCCGGAATCTACAAGATCAAGGGTGTCGGCGATGTGCTCGCCGGCCGCGTGGAGCAGGGCGTGGTGAAGCCGGGCGAGGAGGTCGTGTTCTTGCCCACGCACACCGCTTCGAACCCCTGCACAGGCAAGGTGTTCACCGTGGAGATGCACCACCAGCGCGTCGACTTCGCCAACCCGGGGGACAACGTTGGCCTCAACATCAAGGGCCTGGACAAGAACAACATGCCCCGCTCGGGCGACGTGATGGTGTACAAGAAGGACACCACCCTGGGTCAGACGAAGGAGTTCGACGCGCAGATCCAGGTGCTGGACATCCCCAACGAGATCAAGGTCGGTTACTCCCCGATCGGCTTCGTGCGCTGCGGGCGAGCAGCGTGCCGCATTAGCAAGCTGAAGTGGAAGATGGGCAAGGAGACGGGTGGCAAGAAGATGGAGGACCCCCACTCCCTCAAGTCCAACGAGATGGCTCAATGCAGCTTTCAGCCGCAGCAGCCGCTAGTGTGCGACACCTTCAAGAATTGCGAGGGCCTGTCGCGCGTGGCTTTCATGGACGGCAACGGCGTTGTGATGCTCGGCAAGGTCATCTCCTGCGAGCGCAAGGAGGAGGGCGGTGCTGGCGGCAAGAAGAAGTGACCGCATCTTGCGAACGGTGCTATCATTTTTGGGTTCACGCGCAGTGAGGAGTCGGGGTGAGGGAGCTGGAGGGGTGAGGGAGTACAAGGAGGCGCAAGGGGAGGAGCTGGAGGAGGAGGCGGAGCCACTGGTATTTCCCATAAGCTGGCTCGCATACGAAGAGCGCTTGTTGTAGGTGCGCAGATGCGTCGGGGTCTAGAGAGCCCCCGAGTGAGTTTGTCCGGGCTCTGCGAGAGCGCGCGCCGGATTCTCGTGAAGGTCTTGCATGGGCGCGTCGCTGGCCGCCGCACCGACTCCACGATGCCGGACGGCGGCTCTGGCTGCGAGCTCCATGTCCGTCGACACAAGAAAACATCCGATGGACGTCACCCCCTGGGACCTCTCCTTTGGTCCACCCTGGGCAGTCTCTCGAGCCGCGCCCCTGGCAGTGGCCACGTGAAGCCCGAGAGACTTCCAATCGCCGAGCCGGCGACCTCGATCCTCGCCGACGCCGCCAGCCAGCGGACCGCTGGCGCGCCAGCTTACGATGCATCTTCGCGGGACCTCGCCTGGCCCCTAAATAAATTGGTGTCTCTTCTTGTGCCCGACGCGGGCTCGATGCGGACTCCACGCGTATTTGGCGTGAATTCGACGTGGATTCGACACGGATTCGACACGGATTCGACGAGTCGGACATGGATTCGACACGGATTCGACGCAGATAAGGCCGCGACGGGACATGTAAGGCCCCCGTAGGATGCCACACAATACCTCGATCCTCGCCGCCGCCGCCGCCAGCCAGCGGCCCGCTGGCGCGTCCGTGCGCGGCGGGCGCGGAGTTCGCGTCGCCGCCGCTGCCGACCAGCGGCCCGCCGGCGCGCCCGCGCACCGCTCCTTCCGCAGAGGGCGCGGAGTTCGCCGTCACCCGCGCGCCGTCCTTCGCGCAGGGCGCCGCGGAGTCGGTCGCGCGCCCGCGCCCGCGCCGTCGTCGTCGTCGTCGTCGTCGTCGTCGTCGTCGTCGTCGTCGTCGTCGTCCGCGTCGTCGTCGTCGTCGTCGTCGACATCATTGCCATCGACACCGCCGCCCCCGTCTTCTCTGTCGTCTTTGCCGGCTTTGCCGCCGTCTTTGTCGTCTTCGTCGTCTTTGTCGGCTTTGTCATCTTTGGCGTCGTTCTCTCTGTCTCTGCCGCCGTCGTCGTCGTCGTCGTCGTCGTCGTCGTCTTTGTCGTCGTCGTCGTCGTCGTCGTCGTCGTCGTCGTCGTTGTCGCCGTCGTCGTTGTCGGCGTCGTCGTCGTCGTCGTCGTCGTCGTCGTCGTCATCGTCGTCATCGTCATCATCGTCGTCATTTTCGTCGTCTTGATCTTTGTCATCTTCATCGTCTTTGTTGTCTTTCTTCTTCTTAGACGTGGTCGTGGTCGTCGTCGTCATCATCGCCTTTGCCTTGGCCTTGGCCTCGGGCCTCGGCCTTTGACTTTGTCTCGCCGTTGTGTAGAATGAGGGTGGGGGGGAGATAGGGAGGGGGGCCCCAGGAGCAGCTCAGTCACCCGCACTCGACCCTGCCCTCTCCTTGACCCCTCGCCCCTTCTCAGCCTGTGGCCCCCGCTTCAGCCTTTGGCTCTCTTCTCCCGCCCCCTGGCCCTCCGACGCCCTCGGAGACCCCCGATGCTCCCGAGAACGTCTGGAGCCGTCTGGAAGTCTTGGAGCACACCACTCGCGACACTCGCGATGGAGATGGTGGCCACCGTAGGGAACTGCCTGAAGGGCGGCCAGGAGCCCATCCACGAAGCCTCAGGCCGCCCACCGACGACGACGACGACGACGACGACGACGACGACGACGACGACGACGACGACGACGACGACGACGACGGCGACGACGACGACGACGACGACGACGACGACGACGACGACGACGACGACGACGACGCGCGGCGGCCCGGGCCGCGAACGTGGTGCCCCTGCACGTGGTCGCGCGAGGGCGCGGGGGCGGCCGTGCTCTGGCGCGGCGCGAGCCTCGCGTGACGTGGCGCGCGCGCGCACTTTTTTGTTTCGTTTTCTGTCATGTCGGCGGCGAGACGGAGGCCATCTTCTCCAGCGTGTGGTTCTTCGGGGCAGCCGAAGGGCTAGCTGGGCGGCGTGCAGGAGGGGGGGGAGGAAGACGAGAGCGGCCGCGCGGGGGGAGAGGCGTGCGCGCCGAACAGGGCGACCCGGGGCAGCAGGAGGGGCCCCCCCTGGGCCACGCGGCGCAGGGTGCAGGTGTCCCCAGGTTCCCCCCCAGACTGGTTTGGGGCTCCTCTCAAGTCGGGCGTGTCCCTCTACAGGAGGAGTATCCAAACATAGTTTAAATATACATTTTTTTGAATATATATATATATATAAAATAAGAATGACAAATATTTTAATCATTATTTTAGAGCATTTATGGACTATTTTTGATTTGGCGTCCAAATCCGCCTGTGGGGGGACATGCCCGACCTAAGGCTCCTCTCGGTGCTCTCGCTCTCGGGGCCTTCAGTCCTCCGTAGCCTCTGGGCTTCGGGGCGCGGCTCTCTGGGGTGGCCGAAGACGCAGGGTCGGGAGTCAGCAGACTCAGATGCTTTTCCCGAACCAGCTTGTCTGTAAGGGTTCTATGTGTTATGATTGCGTAGAGCAATCCAGATTTGGTGCACTCCAGATTTGGTAATAAAAGGGAGGGGCTCACGACCCTCCCAGACGAGAAGTTTTAGACCCCGCCAGACCATCCATGAAACGGCGGCCCTTTGCCCAGACCCCCCCGAACCCTCCAAGACAACTCAAATCTGACCCCCCCAAATGTGACCTCCCCCCACTTCATTATGTATTCCGGAGTAGACAGTGCGGTGAAATCTACGTGAGACACGCTATGTGGTGCCAGCTATGTGGTACATGCTATGTGGCGCAAGCTATGTGGTGCAAACTATCTGGTGTAAACTACGTGGTGCAATCTAGATGGTGCAAGCTATGTGGTGAAAGCAATCTCGTGCAAGCCACGTGGTACAAGCTATGTGGCGCAAGCTATGTGGTGTTAGCCGTGTGGTGCAATCTACGTAGTGCAAGCTATGTTGTGCAAGCTAAGTGGTGAAACCTGTATGGTGCAAGCTGTGTGGCGCAATCTACATGGCGGAAGCCATGTAGTGGAAGCTACGTGGTGCAAGCTATGTGGTGCAAGCTTTGTGGCTAAAGCTATTTGGTGTAAACAATGTAGTGCAATATGCGTTGTGTAAGCTATGCGGTGCAAGCTTATCCCGCCGTTGCTCTTCCGCCTCGGGGTGTCTCCGCTGGCCGCCGACATGAGGCTGTGACAGCCTGTCTGTGTTTGAGGGCATCTTTCACATGCACTGCCCTTGGCACTTTCTTACTCGCACCTGTCTGTTGCTCGTCGGTGGGAGCTCTCATCGGCACACGTTCGGTGGCGATCACTCTCTCTCGCGTCCCGCTATTGCCTTCGCTGCGTTGGACCAATCGGCCGCGAATAGAAAACCTGTCAGTGTTGAGTGCTTGTCCGTGTTGAGGGCCCCTCCTCTTGACTTGTTGCGTCGCTTTGCTGGGCTTGCCCCCCAGACTTCCCTGCTGTCGGTTCGCTCTTGCTCTTCAGGTTGTGTAGGAGGATGGCGATGTCGGCGGCGATGGCGATAACGATGGCGATGTCGGCGACGGTGGCGATGGTGATGATGATAATGATGATGCTGATGGTGCTGATGATGCTGATGATGACAATGCTGCGTGACAACGACGATGGTGACGAGGATGAGGAGCATGATGATGCACCGTCGATGGCTGTTTCTAAGCTGGTGGTGGTGGTGGTGGTTGTGTGAAAGAGCGTGGTGTTCATGATGATTCTGATGATTTTGGTGGTGAGTTTTTGTAACATGTTCCAGGTGATTGCGGTGGGAGTGGTGAGTGGTGGTCTTGATGGTAAACGCGACGGTGGTAATAATGATTATCATGGTGACGAGGAGCGAGCGCAGCAAAGACAGAGAGACAGAGAACGAGAGAGAGAGAGAAAGCGAGAGACAGGGGAGAACTGCCAGCAGCGTCAGCTTCTCGTCAGGGCCGTCATATTCGTCGCCCTCGTCCTCGTCGTCGCCCTTGTCCTTGCCC